GGCAACAATTAACTTGAAAATCGCACCCTCTATTACGTAACTAAAAGTTTAGTTGATATCGCTTATGTCCAACCCCTCAAATTCTATACAGATATTGAAAACTAGCAGTTGAAGTTCTAAATAACAGATAATTTTTTTTATAAATAATTTAATTATGGATAAAATACCTACAGATAATTAAAAATTAATTATTCATATTGTGTCCCGTATTAGTGAATTTATATATCATTAAATATCTTACAATAATTATTATTTAATATTATTGTTATTAAACATTTAATGATAATGTTGGAAAAAGTGTTTATAGTTTAGAAAATAAAAAATCATTAATTATACTAAACATATTATATTTTACAATTAATCTAAACACTTGTATGTAATGTTTATTTAAAAAATACTTTTTTTATCTAATTATTAATTATCAAATAATATAAACGGCTATTGAAATAATAATTTATTAAACATGATGTTTAAACAACACAAATTTTAAATATTAAATATTAATTTGACGTGAATGCTTGCGATTGCTATAATAAAAATATCTAATTTATTTCTAACATTTTAATTTTTATTAGAGAATGTTTATTTTTATTAAGTTTTGTATTTTTCGCATTGGCAAAAAGCAATTAAGGCAAATTAAGGAATGTTCATTAAAGGAGGATAATCTGGTAAGAAAATTTATTATATTATAAAATTCAATGCAATTTTATAACCTATGGCGTAATATACCTATCGAAAATATTTCAAAATGTTTATTAAAAACAGATTTATTTATTAGATAACTTTAGTTTTAACACAATTATTCGTTTGAAGATAGATTATGGCTCGGTGGTATTCTCTACTGCTTGCAAATCAACCTTACAGCTCTTGAACCGCGTAACAAATGCATGTTTAAGGCAAGCTCTTGGAGCTTTTTACACAAGCCACAACTAGCCTATGTGCTGAAGCGGGAATAGAGCCCCTTAATATAGAGCCTAGGAGGAAGCTAAAGCAATCCTACCTCGCTTCGGCATTGGCAAATCCTAGCCATATAGTGAGAGAAACAATGCTATCCCCCCATCATATAATCAATGAAATCCTTTACGAAAATCCTCCATAGCTAGACCTGAACAAACCAAAAAGTCAAGACCACATCGCCTGAAATATATCAACAAAAGTTTCAAAAAATACTAGATCAGTACAACAAAAAAATTGTTATTTATACTGATGGCTCCAAGACACAAATTGGTGCTGGATGTGCAATTATTACTAACGGGTCAGTTTTCCAATGGATTTTGAGACATGAAGCATCAGCTTTCATCACAGAACATTTTGCGATCTGGAAAGCCTTATCCTATGTCATCGAGGAATATAATCAATCTAGAGTTTTAATTGTTTCTGACTCTTTAGAGATCGTGTCTAAAATTAATGACATATTTGTCCATAATCTTCTGAAACAAAAAAAATCAGAGGCTTATTCGAGAGTGCAGCGAAAAGGGAAACAAACTAACGTTTGTATGGGTCCCAAGCCACACTAATATACTTGGTAACACAATGGCAGATGAAGCTGCTCAGTAAGCTGCTAGAAGAGATACCATTGATATCCTTTATATTAGTAAATAGGACCTTAAAGTACTACTGCATAAAATAACAGAAAGGCAGGATGAGTGGGCAGGTAAACCTTCAAAGTTTTGCGCAATAAAACAACATCTGTCAACCCCATCCTTACGTCTTGCACTAGGATGAGCTGATGAATCCCAGAGTGCATCGTCTTCGTATTGGGCATACTACGGTGACTCATGCATATCTGCTTAATAGAGAAATACCTCCAATGTGCATAGTCTGTGATGTTAAGTTGAGAGTAATTCACATTATATGTGAATATCCTCAATATACGGTAGAAAGAAACAGATTCGATATACGTAGTGAAATTCGTGAAAATTTAACTGAGGTTGAAACAATTAAAAATATTTTGAAATTTATGAAAGATATTAATATACACCACAAACTGTGATACTCGCCTGTGATACTCTAATCCAACTGTGATACTGTGATGTAAATAATTACCTATTTTTCATTTTGTTTGTTTTTGTTTTCTCTATTTTTTTGTGTTTAGTTATTTTGATCTTTTTGTCACTCAACTTGAAATGTTTTTGTCAATGTAGATTTCTAAATTTTGAATTGTCCTTGTAAGAGTGAACCCCTTGAGGATATTGAGATAGATCCCTGTAATTGCATCGTTAACAATAACGAGTTGTATATGGCTAATGATCCTGGTGATCGATGCCTAGGGAAAAAACACAATTTTTATTCATCGCCGGTTTGTTATTTGTAATTGCGGATATTTAGTGATCATAATGGTTATCACAATGTCATCAGCCAATTTTTAAGGGTACAGTTATTCTCATATAATACAAGTTAAAAAAATTACTAAATATCATACTTTATTCTCAATTACATCAATATCATATAATACAAATTAAAAACCATTTAATTTTTTGAGAACTTCATAAATGTCGCATCGAAGTTTTCTAATAAACATTTTATAAAAATTATCTACCTATATAATTTTATTACCATATCACAACTAATTTTACAACAACTTTAACATTGAACTAAGTATATTGTATATATAATTAGGCGTAAAAATTGCAAAAATACATTAATTGCACTTTTAATATATAGCAATATGGTTTTCTTCATAATGTTCGTTCATGTTTATTTAATATTTTAAAATAAGTAAATAAAACTGGTCTGCTATGACGCCATAGGTCGACTACTAATAGTTTCTGTTAATATTAGGTAATTATAATTTAAATATAATGTCTATATTTGTCAATTATTAATTAGTTAGACGGTATTTTAGCATTAGACAACCTTGGGATGTTGTACATCATCATGAAAATATTTTTTGACATAGGTTAGAATTCAAAAATTTTAATCGATATAATTATAGGTACTTAATTTATTTCCAATTTTGTGGTTTATCTTTAATAAAAGTGAATTTATTTGAAGGTTAAATGTCACAGTTCACTAATTATTCTTCTGGTATACTACTTAATGCTAAATCGTGTTAAAGAAAATTACACCATCATGTTTCATGTAACTAAAAATTGATATAAAAAAGTATTCAGATTTATTTTAAAACTAAAATAATAAAATATTCCTATAATTACTTCTCTACTCACTGTATAATTCTCAACTTTAATTATTTGTGGTATTCTATACCGCGTGTTTCTCAAAGTGGCTCACCCCTATACCTTTTTTATTTCTTGAGATCCAAAAACGAGATGTGGTATGTTAAAGTATATGACATAAATTTTGATTGATTGGCATATTCAATTGTTTTCTGTCATATTCTGTTTCACCGGAAATGACTACAAATTTTGATTTCAATTGGTACCTACTTTTAAAAATTTAAATGATATTCTCAATAGAATGGCATATCATAATATGTCAACTTTTGACATTTTCAATTTAAAAAAATAGCATTTTAAATATCGATTTAGGGTGCCATGGCCATAGATGTAACGACAATTTAACTCGGTACCAAATTATTCGTAAAAAATACTTATTCTAATTATGCTAATGAGCCAATCTGGCTCCTTTTGTAAAAAATTGAATTTTGATTAAAAATGCGTTTTGACCATCTTTTAATCGACCAAAATAAGAGACGTAAAACATTAAACGATCAAATTTATTTTTCGATGACTCCTTGATTAAAAATGAAGGTTTTTAACACAGCCATTTTTTAAGGGAGAATGTAAAAAGTTGACATGTGCTATGTCATTCTATTCAGAGTGTAAATTTATATCGAATCAAGTAAAAAAATACCGAGAGTGCTACTTAAAAATCAAAAGTTGTAGCCATTTTCGGTGAAACAGAAAGTGACCGAAAACAAATAAATACGTTTTTTTATCTGAAAAAATAAAAGGTTATAGGGTTAAGCCACTTTTGAGAAACAACCGGTATTTATACCTATATACGTGACACATGGCCTTCAATGACATATAATATACCGGGTGCGTCTCAAAAGTGGCTCACCCCTATAACTTTTTTATTTTTTTAGTTAAAAAAACGAGATTTGGTACGTTAGTACATGACATAAATTGGGATTGATTGACGCATTCAATTGTTTTTGGTCACTTCCTGTTTTACGGGAAATGCCTACAAGTTTTGATTTTTAAATGGTACACCCGGTATATTTTTACTTTATTCGGTAGGAAATGATATTCTGAATAGAATGACGTATCACATGTCAACTTTTGAATTTCTCGCTTAATAAAAAATTGAATTTTTAATTTCAATCTAGAGTGCCATGGTTATGTTAAAAACACTAATTTTTAATCAAGAAGCCTTGGAAAAATAGATTTGATCGTCTAATGTTTTTAATGTCTTGTCCTGGCCAGTTAAAAAATGTCCAAATCATATTTTTAATCATATCTCAATTTTTTCAAAGGGAACGAGGGTGGCTCATTAGCATATTTGGAAAAAACATGTTTTTACGAATAATTTGATACTACACACTTGGTATTTTTAGTCAAATTTTCGTTACGAACCGCAGATTATAATTTCAAATAATTTCGAAAATGTCAAAAGTTGACATATTATGATATGTCATTCTATTCGGAGTGCTATTTTCTATCGAATAAAGTAAAAAAATACCGAGGGTGCCATTTAAAAATCAAAAGTTGTAGTCATTTCCGGTGAAACAGAAAGTGACCGAAAACAATTCAATACGTCAATCAATCCTAATTTATGTTATATACTAACACACCAAATCTCGTTTTTTTAACTGAAAAAATAAAAAAGTTATATGGGTGAGCCATTTTTGAGACGCACCCGGTACCCGGTATAATAATAATATATAATAATATATAATAATATGAATAATAGAATGACACTAATAGCTGTTAGTAAGAAGTTGCGCATTCAAATATGCGCATATAGTGCACACACTGTTTTTTTTTATCTCAGTACTTTTGACAAAATTTCTAAATATTTTATTTATTATGTTTTAGCTCCCTATATTAAGATATGCAGCCGAAATGATCCAAACCTGTCCAAATGTGTCATAAACTCTGTGGAAGAACTGCGACCGAAGCTGAAATCAGGCATCCCAGAATTGAATGTCCCAGGAGTAGAACCGCTATTTCTGGATGAAGTTAAGCTTCGCAGTGGACCAAATCAGGCTAAAATAAATGCTAATATTACCAACATAAAAGTTTATGGACCCTCCGACTTTGAAATACTCGATTTGAGGTAACAAACTAATCTAGAAAGATAATATATTTTATAAGAGAAAATAGCGAGAAAAAGTATACAAAAAAGATAAAGAGAAAGATTTATCGGCAGAGCACTCAAGAGATTGATGAGAGATCATAGAGATGATATTTATTTTTATTTTTTTATAAAATATTTTATTCATACGTACACTAAAATTAGTTTAATAAACAAAATATGTCCTAAATTTCAAGAGATATCAAAATTATACTAGTTGTGTCAAAAAATATTTGCCATCTCTAGTGGGGAGATACCTCGAGTATAAATAAGATTTATTTTTTATATCAAAATACATCCGATTCTGATTAAAGTTAATCCAATCCGGGTTATTAATTAAGTCCGATCCGGTTTAAAGTCTTAATTTTTTTCGATTTATTATAATTTTCTTCCTTGCGCTTTTGCAAGCAAAGTGTCTCGCCCCTAAAGCGACCAAAAACAATTGAATACGTCAATCAATCCTAATTTATGTCATATACTAAAATACCAAATCTCGTTTTTTCATCTAAAAAAATAAAAAAATTATAGGGGTGAGCCACTTTTGAGGCGCACCCGGTATAGTTTTGACCTTTATACCATGTTACAATATTAAATTAATTATTATATGTTTGAATTAAAATTAAATTACTTTTGAAAACATTCTATAAAACTTTTAATATTTTGATAGAGCTTAAAATTAAAATTAGTAAAGAGATGAGAGGTTTTTCCCATGGTCTTCGTTTTGCAAGATCCAGTCTGGCTTTTCTGCAAAACTCACTTTAGCTGCTAGTCACTGCAAATTTAGTACTTTTTATATAGATTTTTACCGGAGGCAATACCGGATACGTCTCAAAAGTGGCTAACCCCTATAACTTTTTTATTTTTTTCAGATAAAAAACGAGATTTGATATGTTAGTATATGGCATAAATTAGGATTGATTGACGTATTCAATTCTTTTCGGTCACTTCCTGTTTCACCGGAAATTACTACAACGTTTGATTTTTAAACTACACCTTCCTGAAGGCTTTCATTAAAATTTCATGCGAAAGTTTTTAATTACGATCTATGAAAAATATATATTGCGGACATTCGTCGTCTCCCGCTTCTCAACTTCCACATATTTTTGTCTGTCTAGTTTTCTCCCTGAAGGCTCTTTGAATTCATAGCGTCAACTACAACCTGCTTTCATCTTCGAGGTGGCCTTCCACGTTTTCATCTTTCGCTTGGTATCCATAAATTAATTCTTTTTAGCCATTGGTTATCATCCATTCGCTGGAGGTGTCCGTACCAAGTATTTTTCTGTCAATGACGCCGAGGATAGTTTCTTTTTCTCCTATAATTTCTAGTATTGTTTGTTTTGAATTAGAGTCTTGTGATGCGACAACTTCTTCACCAAAAATCCATTTCAAGAGACAGGATCCAACTTCTTTTCTATGAAATAAGTGCCTTAAGATCTATGAAAAATGACATGTCAATAAAAACGTGACACACAAGCATGCTTGGTAACCATCTTGCGTAAGCCTTGCACTGGTCAGTCTTAGTCTTGGTCATGCAGATCTAACGCTAGTTTTGGTCTTGGTTTTGCCACAATGCAAGAGTCTCACTCATCACCACTGAAAATGTGTATAGTACAAAAATAGTAAATAGTAAAAATAGTAGTGTTGAGAATAATCTTGTTGGAAATGTCGGAAAGAGCTAATAACATATAATTTGTAAAATCAGTATAGTGTGCTAATCCTCCATAATGTGCAAATCCACTCAGTAAAAAATATACACACACATGACACTCCATTTATAAAACTAAAACTTTAGTGTTGAAATATATGTGAATCATCCGTTGTATTTATGAAAATAATTTTAACATATGCGCTACAACTGCCCTGTTGCATTTTGCAATAAAGATATGTGTAAATTTTTAAATTAGGGAAACCGAATAGAGTTTTTATATCTGAAACAGTTGGTAAACGCGTAATTTATTGAAATTTTAATTAAAAATGTTTAATTATATGTATAATATCTGTTGCTGAACGCTAGAACTTCATACGTTTTAAAGAAAATAAAAACATGATAATTTTTAGGGTGAACTTAAAAAAGAACAAATTTATATTTCGAGTTAATGTCCCCAAGATCTACTTTGAAGGAGATTATGATATCGATATGAGTTTGCTTTTATTGAATTATAAAGGTCAAGGACCTATAACTGGGAATTTCAGTAAGTATTAAACATTAATTAATTTACTTATTTTTTATAGACTCAGATGCAAAATAAACGCAAAGGAAAAATTTTTAGTTAAAGTTTAAAATGTTATATTTTTTTATTTTTAGCCCTATTTTCTTGTTTTTTTTTAGCAAACTGTATACAAATATATTAACTTTAATTCAAAAATTCAGTTTATTATTAACTTTAATGTTTGACTTATTATACAGGTTACCCGGCATTTCATCAGCCGACTATTTTTATTAAAATAAATATAGTTTTGGTGCCTAGGTCGACTCAGCCTTAAATGAGTATTTGGGATTCACAATCCTGAGGTAATAATAGGCGGTTGAAGCGTAAAGGTGTACGCGCACTGAATCGGTACCAGTCCGGCGAGAAACGGCGAAGGCGGTGACTCGACTATCGTAGATAGGTAGAGGTAGGAATCTGGCCTCTACAGGCCGAAATGTTTTAGTGGACGCCGGCGCCGTCTATATGTACGATGGTCGCAGTCGCTTTTGCTGGTCGGTCCGATCCGAAGCAGTGCGCGCCCTAAAGGTGTACGCGCACTGAATCGGTAGCAGTCCGGCGAGAAACGGCGAAGGCGATGACTCGACTATCGTAGATAGGTAGAGGTAGGAATCTGGCCTCTACAGGCCGAAATGTTTTAGTGGACGCCGGCGCCGTCTATATGTACGATGGTCGCAATCGCTTTTGCTGGTCGGTCCGATCCGATGCAGTGCGCGCGGAGCCTAATGCTAGCCAGATTACCTTCGTTTTATACCGAACGGCTCTAGTATGGCAAGCTGTACCTTGCTAATCCCAAGGCGGCAAACGCTATATACAGGAGCTATTATTATTATTATATACAGGGTTAATCGAAGAGTTGTTTTTTACCCTATTTTTAAATCACCCTGTGCAATAATTTCGTTAGTAACTTTTCCTAAAACCGTTATTTTTAGATCAAAACCATGTCTCCTGAATATTTTGTTTTTTGACTTATGTCAACACATGGCTTGGTTAATTTTTAAGACCAAAATAAACTTGCCACAAACATTTTGCTATTTTTTCAATTATCGTTACTTTTGTTATTGTTGATAATGATGAGGTGGCTTTGGTGATTATTGTTGTGTACGATTAAATGTGGTTCTTAGTGTCGAAGATTGTGCAAGAGTGATTGATCTTGTTGAAGATTGCCGCAATTATGTATATTTACTTGGTTCTTGAAGAAGAATGGAAAAACATAACACAATATATTTGCAGCCTCATTAACAGTATGAACTGACGTCTGCAAACAGTTATAGCAGCCGGGGGAGGCAACACAAAGTATTAGAGTATTATTTACACATTTTTTGTTTGTTTGTAGAGTTAGTTATTACAATTTTTTTTTAATAGCCTTAGTTCTGTAAGTATTAATAATATTTATTAAAACCAAGACTGTATTGTTACTTTTTAACGTTTTTTAAATTTTAATATGAGTTCTAACCAGTGTCGATATGACATTACGACCATAATCACCAAAGCCATCTCATGCTATTAAAAAATAACATAACAAATTAATGATAGTTGGGAAAATTGCAAATTGTTGGTGGTAAGTTCATTTCGCTCTTAAAAATAAACCAAGGAATGTGTTGACATGAGTCAAAAAATAGAATGCTCAGGAAACATGGATCTGATCTAAAAATAATGTTTTAGGAAAAGTTACTAACGAAATTGTTGCACAGGGTGTTTTAAAGTTTGGGTAAAAACAACCCTTCAATTAACCCTGTATAATAAGCCAAATACTAAAGCTTATAAAAACTGAGTTTGTCAATTAAAGTCGGTAGATACAGACACCGAAATATTACAGAGGGTGCTGCGAATTGTATTCGGACAGTTATATTCTGCCAGATAAGAATAACTAAAAAACTTCGTATATATGTTTTTCCTCATATGTTTCGTTTCGGAGATACAGGTTGTAGAAGTTTTATTTTTATTTCAATTTTTTCCAAATAATTTCTGAGCTAACGCCGACATTTGAATAAAAATTAGTGTCTGGGAATTTTTTGACATGAGAAATTCGATTTCGATATCAGTATAGGACTCTTACTTGTAGGGGGTGTCAGTTACATATTTTTTAGCTGTTTTGAGGAGTAATAACCTTTTGTCCGTACCTGTATTACACTATTAAGTAAAAACATATACATTTTCATAATTTTTACGCAAAAAGGTATTTTGGTAAAAATCTCTAAGAGTGACGGTTCTCAAGATACTTGGAATCGAAATTGCATAATAAAACACTAATTCGCCACAATACACCGAAACACTTTAATTTTGCCTGGACGCGCGTTTCATCAGCAGAAGATTAACCCTCAACTGGCGTGGTAAATTTATTGAACACTTACGGCGTGCTGAGGTCCGACAGACCCCAATTTTTTTCTGTTAAGAATACATGATGAAGATATTTTATAAAAAGCTTGTTATTTTATCAGTATTTACTGTTTACAATATATTCAAACTTGTGAACAAACAATTTCTTTAATTTTCCATAAATTAATAAGAACGGACACAAAAATAAAGTAAAACGCATTTTTAGCAGTTTTTGACAACATAAATATAACTTGGCTAAGAAACCCATAGAAATTAATAACATATATATATTTTATGATTTTACTGTATTATTAAAAGTACCAACAACTGAAATGTAAAGCTAAAGTACTAAACATAAAATATTTTCAACAAAACTGCAAACCTTGAATGTACATTACTTTTTCAAATACAGTTCATGCTAATATAGGATCTGCATTTTCCGCACATGGATCGTGCACATTTGATTCATGAGATTTTTGTTTTTTGTCATTTCTTCATTGACATATACCACATCTCTTTCATTTCTGCTATTGATTATTCAATTTTCTCTGTTCTATCAGAGATTCAGAATCGGAGTTATGGTTACTCTTTGGAGAAAAATCAATGTCTCGATGATCTTCATCTCACTTAAGTCTCTTTAAGTCTCTTTCCTCAAAATTAGTGTCCCAGTGAGGCACACTTTTTAGACTACCCACCATCCTAATAATGAAAGCCATTGGCGTGGTGGTGCCACACAGACCCCAATGAAACTTTAGCCCCCGCTCGCTGGTAGGAATAATACTTGATAAAATCGAGTGCACCTTTAAAAGTTGCATATTGGTACCCTAACTTAAAGATAAATGGCGCGACGAGGCCTAATTCTTAAACGTAAATATTTTACAGAGGTTTAAATAGCGCTTGGGGTCCGCTGGACACCACCATCAATCACACCCTGTACCTCCTAAACGAAGCATATCAGGAAATAAATGTATACGAACTTTTTGACTTGTTCTTATCTGCAGAATATACTGCCGAAGTTTCATGAATATAATTCGGACCACCATGTATATATTTTAGATTGATTATCTATAAAAAGGACACTATTAAATATATTATTATAATACTTGCAATTGAAGGGTTTCAATATTTCACCATTTTTCAATCTGGAAAGACTTTAAATATGAAAGAAAAATGTCATCTAAAAATAGTCATATTTCATAAACCACTGGATGATTATGGAACAAAAATCTTGTAAAATCTTATATAAAATAAAAGAATCTACCTAATTTTTTATTCCAACTATAAATACTTGTATTTACTGGTATGTCACATTAATCTTGAGCTTAATTTTTTCAAAGACCTTAACCTTCTCGAAGGAAGGGCATTCGAATTAATGGACTGCATAGTTGAAATGATGATATCACTTTATTTATCTTTTATAGATAGGATTTAAATGTAGATTTTCATTTTTATTAGAGTGTTAAATTTCGTATAATTAATTTTAACCATTACCTAGAAAGAATATTTGTTTTGCGAATTGTCATAAATTATTGTAAATGCATACATGTGCCATCCCTCGTGGGGAGATTCCTCCCGTACAAATAAGATTTATTTTTTATACCAACAAAGGTCCGATTCAGCTATGTTTAGTAGCTATTTTTCGATTTATTATAATTTTCTTCCAAGTGTTTTTAGGCCAGTATTACACTATCAACTTCCTTTGTCAAAGATTTTATCTTGTCAAAGAATTTGACAGTGTAATATGTGTGATTTTATAATATATTGTATATTAACAATGTCAAATTTGCAATGAAATATCTTTTATAAAACATCTTTGACAAAGAAATTTGATAGTGTAATACTGCCCTTAGCGATTCGAATGTAATTTTCAAAGTAAAAATTACTATAATATGATCTCATCAATAATATGATTTTTCAAAGACAGTGTCAAAACATAAATTATAAACACTATTTTATAGGTCTGTTGTCTTGGTCTGTAGGGCCAAAAGTAAAGGCATTGTTTTAATGTAAAAAATACGAGAAAATTTGCTTTGTTAACGTACTCCACAAGGTGTTTTAAACTCTCACCAAAATATCAACATTGTTTCCCCTCGTATAATTTACAGATGACAATTTTCATTTTTAATTTAGAAAGAGGTACTAAAAAGTCAAATAATTTACTCCTAAGCTACAAACTCCTTAAAAATCATCAAAATCGGTCCGCTAAAAGAGAGTGTAGATAAAAAAAATAAATTTTATTTTTACGTCAGGAATCTCTCCACGAGAGATGGTACATGGTTTTTGAAACACCCTGTATATAATTTTTTAATTAAAAGAATGACAAAACCTTTATAGGTATAATACAAAAGAAATACATTAATGAATATCCGGAAGAGTTAGTATTTCTATTAAACTGTGCGAATTTATTGTTACATATGAAAAGATGCATGTAAACAATGAAGTTATAGGAAGGTTAAGAAAAATGCAGCTCAATGCCATACCTAGTTTATTTTTATACATAAAAATAATAAAAATACTCTCATTAAAAAGTAAGATAATATTGGTTTTATATAGGGTGAGTCATAAATATGTGCAAATATTTTCAGGGCTGGTAGATCTCGATAAAAGAAAAACACATTTTCTCTTTACAGTTTTTCTAATAAATCCAAAATAACTGAGTTATTTTACTTAGAAAACAAAAAAATATATTTTCTGCTTAAATGTCGAGAACCACTGGACTTTTTCTGGGTCTTCTTTTTCCTGTAAATTTAATATTTTACTTATGTTTCCGTAAAATCTAGATATTATATTTTTTTAACTAAACATTGAAAAAATCCAATCTTTTTTTCGAAAAATATCAAATTATCAAATTTTCTGTTTCGACTAGAAAACCTCAGACGTGTTTCTGGAGTCCAAATATACCACTCCTGAAATAGTTGCACTTATTTAAGATTCGGCAGGATTTTTTATTTATATACCGGGTGCGTCTAAAAAGTGTCATGTGCCAAGTGTCAGTCCTTATAACTTTTTATTTTTTTCAGATAGAAAAACGAGATTTGGTATGTTAGTATATGACATAAATTAGGATTAATTGACGTATTCAATTGTTTTCGGTCACTTCCTGTTTCACCGGAAGTGACTAACTGACTTTCACCGGAAATGACTGAACTTTGGATTTATAAATGGCACCCTCGATATTTTGTTAGTTTATTCGATAGAAAATGACACTCTGGATAGAATGACATATCATATGTAAACTTTTCACATTCCCACTTAAAAAATATCACATTTTAAATTTCAATCTAGAGTGCCATGACTGTGTTAAAAACACTAATTTTTAATCAAGAAGCCTTGGAAACATAGATTTGATCGTCTAATGTTTTTCGTGTCTTGTACTGGTCGGTTAAAAAATGCTCAAATCGTGTTTTTAATCATATCTCATTTTTTTAAATGTAACGAGGGTTGCTCATTAGCATATTTGGAGAAAGCATGTTTTACGAATAATTTAGTAGCACAGACTTGGTATTCGTTACATTTATGGCCTATTCTAAATTAATATTTAAAATGCTTTTTTTTTGTTTGAAAATGTCAAAAGTTGGCATATGCTATGTCGTTCCATTTAAGTAAAAAATACCAAAAGCGACATTTAAAAACTAAAAGTTCTAGTCGTTTCCGGTGAAACAGGAAGTGGCTGAAAATGTGTGAATATATCAATCAATCCTAATTTATGTCATATACTAAAATACCAAATCTCGTTTGTTATCTGAAAAAATAAAAAAATTATAGAGGTGAGCCACTTCTGAGACGCACCCTGTATAGCTTAAAATGAAATTTAGCTTGGGAGAGATTGAGAATTTTAAAAAGTAAATAACTGTAAAGTGCATTTTCTGGTCGAATTTTCAATATCATTATTTAGAAAGGTTGTTTCTTTTTAGATTTTGGATAAGTGTACCAAACTTCATTCATCTGGATAAAATATTTTTTTCACAATTTCTAAAGAATACCAACTGTTTATCGATAAACTCGTACGTATGAGCAAAATTCACTGAATCCATAATAACAGTGAAATAATTCTCTTATAGTCATATAATTATTGAAATTTATTGAAACCACATTTAAAAAAATAATTTTTATCCAATTCTATATCCAAATAAATATAAAATTTAGTTGGATAAAATTGTCCTCAGCGACACAAAGTATGTAAAATAACATTTATGGATTTGACATGATCGAGACATTATATATTTTGATTTGTGCCCGACACCTTTAGAGTAGACGTATCAGTAGACAAGTAGAAGTATCTTTCAAAAATAGGCGCCATTACTATTGCAAATTATTTAAACCTCTTTTTAAAATAATAATAATAATGGGTATGGGTAGAAAAAAAATATTTAAGACTCAGAAAAGATTTTGTAATTATACAAGAGAGAGGTTCTCGTATTATGATGAATTCCCTCAATAATTATTATTAACCGAACCACTTTGGTTTCTTGAAGTTACTTAATAAAGAAGTATAACGAAGTGATAATTGTCGTAATAGGTATTCAAATTTATTAAATGTGCATATAATATGAGGTTTAGCACCGTCATGGTGATACACAAGCTGACCGAGATTGTCATCTTTTTATTAAGAAAAAAAAATTAAATATTAACAGATCATACATACATTTTACTTTTTATTGATAAGATTTGACGTTATTTAGCCCCTTCTTTTGAAGCTCTACTATAAAGATTTTTAGCAAAGTAGTGATAGTGTAGTGGAAGTATTTAGAAAAGATTTACACCATCTTTTCTGAATATTAGACTTCAGTCCCGAAATACAAATTCCTCTTGAGGAATTTAAGCTGCCCAATACGTAATAAAAAAATAAAATAATTAATGACAGTGAGTTTTTTCTTTAATAGATTAGTTAGTATTTTTTCTAGTACCATTTGCATATCTACTACCATTTTCATGTTTCTTTTTTCAATTTTTAAAAGCTGAAAAATATATTTTTTTTGTGTTTGTTTGTATGTTTAATATTTAAATTATTCATTGGGTCATAAAATCCAAATCTAAAAACGAATATGGTAGTATGAACCTACCAATAGGTATATTTTTGAAAATAGCAAAGTTTTTTTTCATGTTTTTCCAATACGCAGCATATATTTTCTTTAATAAAAATTATTTCATTTTCAGCTGACTACAAGTTTGATTGTACAATGAACGGAAACCTGATTGATAAGAACGGTCAAAAGTTTTTGAAATTCCGAAAATTCGATGTTACTCTCTACTTGGGACACAGCTACATGCACTTAGGAAACCTATTTTCTGAAACGAGTTCCACCATAGCAAGAGCAACAAACGAAGTGGTTCGAGACAATGCCGACTTGTTTGTCAATGAAATCAAGCCGGTTTTGGAGGACTCATTAGCTCAGAAATTTACCGATATTGCCAACATTATAACAGACAGATTTTCCTACGACGAATTGTTTCCTGTAACCAAAAAATAGGGATGACACGGAAAGCAATATAAATATTAAGTTTTATTTGATGAGTATATACATCTCTCTGTGATATTATGAGTTTGTTTCTTGATTGGTTTAATAAATTGTTTAAACGAAATGTTTTTATTAATAACTTTTTATTTTTTTTATAAAATGTTATTTCCATAAATTTGCCTTCAAAATAAATTTTAAAATACGTTACGTAACGAAAGTTAAATATAAAAATAAATTTGCATATTCCTGAATATGCCAAAATAAAATATAAGCTAAGGCTTATAAAACCTGGATGATTTTTTTTAAATGGAACACCCTGTATATTATTGCATTTTTGGATTCCTTTTAGATCACTTTATATACACTTAAGATATAAATAAATATATTTCGATAGTTTCAGAGATATTAAAAAATAAATTAAAAATATATATTTTTCAGCCCTTCTTAAAAAAATTATTAAAAATACAAGAACTGTTCTGAAATCAAAACTATATTAGGTTTTTTACTTTAGATGGTCTATTCTTACTTTGCTATAAATATGGTAATCGTAAATCCTACAGGATGTTCAATATTCTACGCCAAACTTTCTAAAATATAAAATATTTTTTCTTTGTTTTTTTAAATGGAATACCCTGTATATTATTATTTTTTATTAGATGGAGAGTGTAAAAATGGACATTTTTTGTATTTAGAGTATTTCAAAATTCTTAACGGTTTCGCAGATACACGCAGTATTATTTCATATGGCGCTTTCAATGGTAAAATACGAGAGAAAAATCATTGGGTGGCTTTGATAAAAATTTACTGTGGAAAATGCCATATGAAATATAAAACCGCAAATATCTGGGAAAAAATTTTGAAATACTGTAAATACAAAAAATGTTCATTTTTTAATTCTCCGTCTATTGAGAAAAAAAAATTCCGTCCATTTAAAAAAACGAAGAAAAATTATTTTATATTTTAGAAAGTTTGGCGTAGAATTTTGAACATCCTGTATAATTTACGATATTCATATTTATAGCAAAGTCAGTATAGACCATCTAAAGTAAATACCTAATATAGTTTTGATTTCAGAATAGTTCTTTATTTTTAATAACAATTTTAATATGGCTAAAAAATATATATTTTGATTTATTTTTTAATATCTCTGAAACTAATCGAAATGTATTTATTCATATCTTAGGGTTATAAAGTGATCGGAAAGAAAGCCAAAATGCAATAATATACAGGGCGTTCCATTTAAAAAAAATCATCCAGGTCCATTCACACTTTTTTGAGCCACCCTCTAGAAGTTAAAATATTTTCCTGAAATACATCCTGGTACATACTTTAGGTTTGCACTTAAACAAAATTCTCAAGTTTTTTATTCTAGGAGCTACAGATGCCCGACGCACTATTGCCGGACCCTGTATGTCGCAGGCGTATTGAATAATTCGGCATTTTGCAAAAGACTAGGTATATTATAAAATGTCGGCATTTTAAACAAAAGAAGGAAATTTTACAAAGAGTCTATCAGTCAGTTCTTTTCAGTTACTCTTTAAAATGCCTATAAATAACTAACCTGTATTTGTCCAAGTGTTGTGAACATACATTTAATATGGTTATATGTATATGTATATTCGACAAATTGTATAAAATATTATTTTTACCCTTATTCTACGGCTATGCCTAAAGAATTTAAGGTACGAAAAATACCATCAACATTATTATTCTTCTCAGAAAGATGGGTGATGCAAATAAACAGAACCATTACCTTAAGATGAAATTTGGAAGAAATAGTCATAAATAGTTGCATCATTTTTAGTTTTCCTTTGTAATTCGTTTACTTTCAGACGCGATGTCTGGTTTCTATTTACTTAAGAAATGGTCATGTTTGTCCCTTTGCAAACCTACCTGAAAATATTATTAAGAAATAGTAGGTACGCCCGTGGATTTTCGGAGAGGGCATTCTCATAAAAGCACGGTCACAGAAGGGACCGGGGACATTCATAAAAATTTTTCATAGACGTAATACTGCTAAATTTATATTTTGTATTAAAAGTTTAAAAAATAAAAAGTAATAACAACTTAGTAAGAATTTAATTATAAAAAAAATAAAGAATAACATTCCCAACAAGTGGTGATACGAGTCAAATAGAGAACTACAACATTTGGTGGCAGCGACTACAAGATTGGTGACGACGGTGGTCCAATCCAGGATCACGACATTGGTGGCAGCGGTAAAAACTACCAAGGTTTCCTGAAGGTGCGCCAGACGCAGCAGAAAACCTACCAGTTTTTGGAAGAAGATAGAGGCAACGGGCAGTTCTTGAAGGTGCACCAAGAAGCAGCAAGAAGCCCGACACGAGACGTAGACATTGGGGACACTGAAGGAGCGCCAGACGCAGCAGCAAGTCTCCAGGGAAGCTTTTGTTTTCACCAGATGATGACGGGGTAAGTCTTTCATTTGTTTACTGTATTGTGACGCTACTGTTTTCTTCTGATTTTAGTTAGTTAGATTTAAGTTAAGACAATAATAATTCTGGGCTGCAAATAACAAAAAAAAAAAAAAAAATATTGCTTAAATTCGTAAATATTTTTTCTCTCTTCAAACTAAAAAATACATCTATAAAAATAAATAATAATTCTTAAACTAAAGTAATAAATCATTAATAAAATAATAATGGCAGGAGGTAAAGACGCAACTGATGTTCTGAATTTAATAAATTCATTTGATGGTCAGGGTGACGCAAATTCACTCCAATTTTTCTTAAAAAATTGTGATTCAATATTAAAAATTGTCAAAGTGGATCAAAAGAATTACTAGTAGATTTAATTTTTGGTACTAAATTAAAAGGGAAGGCACAAGAGGTAACACAATATAAACAGTTTCAAAATTGGGAAGAACTAAAAGATTTCTTATTAGAGCACTTTACTGATAAAAACACCACCATCGCATTTTCTAACACAAATAATGAATATAAAGCAACATTTTAGGAAACTGTAAAAGAATATGGCGATAGATTACAAATTCTCTTTAATAAATATAAAGAAACGTGTCACTTAAATTATGCAAATAACGAAGCTACTGTTTTAATAGAAAATTTAAACTCCATTTTAGTCAATACTTTTAGAAAAGGACTCAACGATGAAAAAATTCAAATGCGTATTATTGCCGAAAATACTACATATTTAGATAAAGCTTTATCATTAGCAATTGAAATGGAACTTGAGAATAATGACAGGTTTAAAAACTCGCATTTTAAAAATATAGGTTTTGTAGAGCGTGGAAATAGACAATTAAATAATCATTCTTCTAATAATTCCTGTTTATTTTGTTTTAAAAATAATCATTTAACATCACAGTGTAGACAGCTTAGGCAATACGAACAAAATAGTAACTCATATAATAGAAATGTACCTAGCAATAATCAGACACGCCCACCGCAAAATTTTAATAGCAATAATAATTTTTCAAATAGACAAGACGTAAATACAGTACAATATAATCAAGGACGTTTCACTAATCGAAACTACAACAATCAAAATTTTAATCAGAACAACGACGTGCGTAATTATAATCGTAATTATGGTAACAATTATAACAGTAATAATCCTCGTTCAAATTACAATAATAGATATTCTCAGAATCCAAGAAATTTTAATAACTCACAAGTTCCTCAACGGCAGCAAAATGTTTCGATACCTCAACAATCTCAAAATTTTTCTAATTACAATAATGAATCCAGTACTACCAATTTTAATAGTTCAAATAATAGATCACCACAACAAATTCAAACTATAAATTCTCAGTCGTTAATCAATTCAGCAGATAATTATTTTTCAGAACCGAGCACATCTCAAAATTTTTCGGGAAACGAGAGCGAAGCCTTGGTCGCGAGCAGCCGATTAAGCGCTTCTTAAAATTAGATAATAGCTGTTCTATGAATTACACACTACCTGAGCATAAAAATAAAATTAAAATTGAGCAAAACTTAATTGACATACCGCATAAATCAGTATTATTTTCCGATAGTTACCAACAATTAGAGATAATTAAAATCCCTTCTTTAGATATAAAAGATAAAGAATTACATCTTTTATTAGATACAGGGGCAGATATATCTTTATTGAAAGAATGTATCTTATTACAAAATAATCTAAAATTAAATAAAACTTGCATTATAGAATTAAAAGGTATAAGTAAAGAACCTGTATTTACTAAAGGTGTTTGTAACATCCCAATTAAATTAAACAATAACAAAGCAATAACTCATCCTTTTCACATTGTGCCAGATAGTATACCGATTAAAAGTGATGGACTATTAGGACGCGATTTTTTGCAAAAGTATAAAGCCAAAATAAATTACGAAGACGGAGTCATTAATTTTGAAGACAATTTTTTTAAAATTTTGCCGTCAGAAGCAACTACAATAATTCCCGCGAGATGTCAAATTATTGTACCTGCTCTAGCTAATTTATCTTCGTCCGAAGGCATAGTAGTTTCAAAACAATTATCCGAACATTTATATCTAGGGTCAAGCCTAACAAAAGTCCAGAACTATAAATGTTTAGTTAGCATATTAAATATTTCTAATGAAGCTCAAACTATCCATACACCTAGAGTGAATGTCGAACCTATTTCTTTTAATGAGTACGAATTTATAGAAACATATAATTATGACATTATCGATCGTTTTGCTAAAATAAGAAAAGAAATTAATCTAGACCAATTAAATGAAGAAGAAACTAATTCAGTATTAGATATTTGTAGAGATTTTAACGATATTTTTTACTTAGAAGGCGATAAACTAACAAGCACCAACACAATAAAACACACTATACCGACAGAAAGTAATAAAGGTCCTATTAACGTAAAACCTTATAGATTGCCTTTCAAACATAAAGAAATAATTAATGAACAAACTGAGCAAATGTTAAAAGACGGGGTAATTTCCGCTTCGGACAGTCCTTGGAATAGTCCTTTACTAGTTGTTCCTAAGAAAAGCGACCCATTATCACCTAAATTTAGAGTATGCGTTGATTTTCGAAAGTTAAATGAAATTACCATTGGAAACGCATATCCTCTACCTAATATAGCAGAAATTTTAGACCAGTTAGGAAAATCTCATTATTTTACTACCT